TGCAATCGTTGAATGGGCTGAATTGCACAAAATGCATGATCGCACCGGCTAGTCTGGTGCGCGTTGCTACTTATTCACCATTAATTCCCTCATTCTTACAGCATCAGTGTTTTCCAATTACTCTACCCCATGCTGAGGAGGTGATTTTATGCTCATTGACTCCGTAGAAAAGCAAAAAGTCTCAATGAATTATGGCAGAAACTGTATATCCCAGACCAACTTTTGCTTCAGGTTTTTCCAACGTATCGTTTCGATGTTTAACTTAATGGCGGCCTCCAGAAAAGTCCGATATTTACCAACTACTGACATAATGCGGACCCATTCCCCCCATTCAGTCTAGCCATCCTTCCGCACTTTTCCCTCCGCCCCTTCCCCTTCTTCTGTCCCCAAATGACATTTCTAAATCCCTTGAAAATAAGCCTAAAGTTTCAAGCAGCTGTCGAGTTATTCATGAAGTCTACGTATCATTTCTCAAGCACCCCGCTTTTTGAGGCCTCCCAATAATCCAAGTCGCTAAAAGTGTTAAGCCCTCCACTCCAGAGCTCCACTTCTGTGTGGCTGTCCGCATGAACTCTTCTTCCCCATAACCATATTTCACTTTATAAACTGTATATCACATCCAAGAGTAATGTGAAACATTTGAAGCGAAATAGCGCAGAATGCCAAAAGTGAGCTCAGAGGGGCTCTTGTAGATGCGAAGCTCGAGCTGAATTTATCAACAAGTAACAAATGATTGGAGCGAAAGTAATAACAACGAGAGTGACAAGCTAGCAGAGTTGAGCAATGTTATCATTGTTCGGCAACGACAAAACAAAAAAAAAATCAAGCAATATGTGTGAAAAGTGACGTACACATGTGTAAGTTCTATGGTTTGAAACCTCACTGAACCTCCACGAATTCGAACAAAAAAACCCCGCTGCTTTTGCCCTTTTCCTGGTTATCTTTTTCTGAATTTACTATTTCAAATCCCCAAATTTTTGCCCTTGAAAAGTAATTTATCACAGTGATATACCCGAATAGTGGGCAATGACTAGTCCTCACCCATGGCAGTATAGCAAAAAAAAATCACATGAAAGAATTTCTCTGCTAACTCCTAACTTCGAAAGAGGACAGTGAGGCTCGGTTCAGCAGATATGTCACTGAAATCATATCACTTCAGTGATGAGGTATGCGAAACAATATGTCATTACGTGGCGCACTGAAAACAATTCAAAAAGCTCGAACAAGTGGCGGCGCGGCTTGGTCGCCAGCATATGTTTTAACAGTGAACAAAAAAAAAAACAATAACGTCGAGCAAAAAGCAAAAAAAAAGAACTAGCGTCGTGTGGCTTCGCAAAAAACCCGCAATAACTAGGCATATGCTCAAATTCAAATACTACACTATAAACAGAGAACAGTTATGGTGTACGGGGGACGCAAAAAAGAGCTTAAATCAGAAATGCAAACCTCACACTTATGCATGTTGCAAATCTTGATACCGGGTTTTTCTTGTGAAAATTTTTATCAATTTCGGGGACCCTTTGTTAACTAACCGTATTTTTCACTGGTATCACCGATTAGAATTTGATTACCGGCCAAAATACTGGATAAATAATACCGGGGAAAAACATCTGTGCGGTCCGAAACTTTCTTTTTTGCTATCTATCTGAGTGGCGAAGAACTTGAAAATTCGGAAATATGGGTGATTTTTGACATGTTACACAATTTTACCACATTAAATATTATGTTCATAGAAGCAATCAAACAACACTCAAAGTACTGATAAGGCTATGGACGGTCCGTCTCACTTTCGGAAGTTTTACAAAGAGGTCCCAAACACTAATTTATACGCAACCAATTGAGCATTTCTTTGATATGTACACACATACAGCTGCATGGCTGCGCTTCTGCAATGACATCTTTGAAACCTTCGAAGACATTGCTTTGATCCAACCAGGCCTAAGAGTGCCTGTAAAAAAAAAATTGTAAAAAATTTCTAACAGAGTTGTGCTAGATTTGATTCATGATGTGTTCTTCCAAATATGTATTGAGTAGATAAAGCAGAACAAATAATTTTGATAAATTTATGTGTGCCAGGAAGAACGTCAGGATCGCTAGCAGACTAACTACCAGGGAATTCATTAACTGGAAATTTGCCAACTAACCGTTCTAGGACAAGAATGTAAATTAACGATAAGCCATTATTCGAAGTAGGAGTGTACGGAAGCCTCCTGTTGCAGACAAGCTTTCAGCAAACGAAAACCCCGTTATCAGCAAAGTACTTCCCCATTTATGAAGCTG